TATGAGTCGGTCTTCCTTGCCGAGACAACGGTGAGTACAGTGTGTTACAGAGCGCGGCAGAAATGAAGCCCTCACTATGCTTGTCTGACGCAAGGACGCCTTATATGTTGTCCCAATGCTTGCAATGATGTGCCCCGCCGAATTCTCTGTGAGCTTGCAATGCGCAAAGTTGAAACTCAGAAAGCTGTTTGATGTCGTGTATGCTCAAGGCCAGGTTGTCCTTCGATATCGGAAGGTAGTCGAGCGAAGGCGCCGGCGTAAATGGAGATTGGCTTATTGAGCAAAGAGGGGAGGAAGGGTTGGATGTGTGAGAGTATGCATGGCACCGGACAGTAGGGAATAATGGGGTTTGTCACGAAGACATCAAAAGCTGGAAAGGCTGACCATGAGTAGCGCAACCAGAAAAGAATTCTGCCACGTCGTGAATGAGTAGGAGAATATGTCCGGACAGTCTTGGACCAACTAGCCCAGAAAACAAAGCCATTGTACGTTACACACCTAAACCAATGCGGCGGCATCTAGGGTCTTGTTCCACACCATCTCTCGTGGGTCGGACATGGAGGCGTCTGGGAGGGAGCAGCCCGTTGTGTCCCAAGCTTCCCGGCTGGCATGCTTCGCGTAAAAGGAAAGAGACGGTGTGCAAAGGACCCTAGGCACGCGCAATGTGGGCGTCGACACACAATTTGGCAGAGCCTTCATGGCCTTGTTTTTGAAGGCAGGAGAGCCTTATGAGACCATGCTCGATCGACGGAACTTATGTTGCCATATTCTCTTTTTCCTTCTTCCTGAACCCCAGTATGGTTTTAGTGGGTTTTAGTGGGTGAATAGAGCGCCTTTGAGGTGCGGGATACTTGTTGCTCTCGCGAATCGACCCCTGCTATTTCCGCCAAGCATCTAGACTTAATAGTCTCGGTGAGCATTTGTTGTCACACTTTTGATTACCCAAAGACAATAGTTGTGCTTTTGATTCCATGAGACAGGCTCGGGACCATCCGAATCGTACATTCCGATAGGTATTCCTGATCATGTTTGTAAGAGGTTAAAGTGATTAGCACCTTGGTCAATCTAGACTGAGACGGTCTGACCGGCCACACCCGGAGAAAGGCCCGCACAGAAAACGGGAGGAAAAGCAACGAGAGCAATCCTATGAATCTCCATTGCTACCTTGCCAGCGAGCCAGCTAGAGTAACAAGAAACGCTCCATGTGGCAGTCTGTTGTGCCTCAACAAGCAACATGACAATGAAGGCATACTGGTCATCCCTGCTTTGTCAATGCTTCACATTGTATGTATGGAGGACGTGTAACCTCTTGACCAAGGAGCCTAAAGTTGATCGATAAGAAGTAAGACGGGGAGCATCCTTTCCGTGTCGCACCCCGTGACGGAAGTATGCCATTGGTGCGCACAGCAGGGAAGACAGTTACCCATTAAACCCTGCCGAAATGTCGTCCCGAGCAAACTCCCACTTCGCCGTCTCGCAATGTTGAGACAGTGCTCGACCGGCCCGTCTATCGAGTCAAAGACCCAGAATCGAGCGTTAAAAGCCTATGATAGTTCTTATCAACAAGAGAGAAACACGTCGTCAAAAGCTTGCTCCGGCTGAGCAAAGAGTACTGTTCCGGTTCCGGTTCGAAGTGTCGTTTTCGGCTCCGCGTGCTCCACCCCGAAGCCGGCCTTGGCGTCGGCGGTGATCCGAATAACCTCGACTTTGGTCTCTGCCCGGCCCGGTCCTGTGCGGTCCTGCCATCGTTGACTTATCTTCTTCATCTAGGTACTATCACCGGTGCTCCTGTTTGCACGGTCTGCAACTGCAATGGCTTTCTTGAATAGGCCATCAATCAGTCTAGACCACCGTGACCACTGGAATATCTTCGCACGACCGCTCGAGATCAGCGGTTCGTCATACCCCGTAAATGGAAGTGACAAATCGCAAGTGCCGTTTCCCTGCTCCCAGTCAGGAACGGCACTCGTGCCAGATGGGAATGGATATGGGCGTGTTGTGTGGTAACACAACGTTCGTAGGAAGGGAGGCGGCGTACGTGAATGACCGGCAATGCTGGACACTAGTCGCAAGCCCACGGGTCCCGGTCCCAGAAGAGATCATCGTCAAGCATCGCAAGTCCGGAATCTGTACCTGCCGCGCCCTTAGACCCAGTACCGTGGCTGCGTGGCATAAGTATGCGGGTCGTGTGGGACAAAACCGACGCAAACAAATAGTGCCGGGCGAGGATGGGAGACAGCTAGTGTTAGTTAGATATAAGTAATAAATGTGGACAGCTTACCAACAACCATGGGTGCATGGTCTAGTGGTATGATTTCTGTTTTGCATTGAAATTTCTATCTTGCTCTACAGACGGTCCCGCGTTCGATCCGCGGTGCATCCAATTCTTTTTCACTTTTTGAGCCTCAGAAAGCTACTCATCTTTTTGCATCGACATTGTACTCGATGCTGTGACTTTATTTTGATTGTTGTTTTTATTTTTTCCCATATCCTGTTGCTTGATAGTGTCGACCCATGTATTCGTGCTTATCATATGAGTGATCTGGTGAACCTCGAGAATTCATGACACCAAGAGTCTCAACTGGGTTTACCAGACACATATACGATCTACGTTCGCATAGTACCTTTGCATATATTGTTGGATGAAATATTTAGTAAGTCCTGTAGTCCATTGGAGGCGATTACTCAGGTTGACAACAAACCAGAACGGAGGAGGCTCGGGAGGGCGAGATGATTCAAGCACGAGCAGAGGATCGATACCGACGTCCTATCCAAAGAACCAATGTCATTCTGTACAAAAAGCGGGTATCGCTTCAAAATGCCTATATCTGTTTCGCTTCGCAGCCCTTTTACTTTGGAAGACTGCCCTCAGTCCCGCTATTATATTGTACAGTGTGACCTTTTTATCATGGCACCAATCTGTGGTCCATATGCCCTTATTCAGAGTGGTGTGTTTATGCTGGAAATGCTCAAGGCGCCCGCTCCGTAGCCTGCCTCTCTATACATGCGCGACGAAGATCCCGAAACTCCCAATGGCCCCCAAGCGACCAGATCCCAGTTTTGGTATGATACATGTATTTTTGGTTGCCGCAATCGATGGTAGTGTAGTGAACATGAACAGGCGCTCGACGCCGAGTGGTGATGTGGCAAAAGCGTGCTCCTTCACCTAGAAAAGACACGCTCGTTGGAAATAACGCGGGCTTAGATGTAATCGCGTCCGCTCTTCTGCATCTCGATCAATCTCCAGCCCCTGGTCTCGGGGTTGTTGACATCCTCAGGAATACGAGTAATGCCAATGGCGTAGGTAACAAGCTGGACCTTGTCCTCCATACCAGCCGCCAACTTTCCAGTCTTGGCGTTCTTGTAAACGTGAACTTCTTGAGTCCTGCAAGTGATGACGAAAACAGGAATGTCACCAGGGTCGAGCATCCGCGCCTTGAGAACATCAACACCACGGATGTCGAGAATGCGTCCGTCGGACTTGAGACCAGCCTGGAGATACTGCTTGGTCAAAGCCTCGTAGACGGAGTACTGGGCCTCCGAGAGCCAGAGCTTCAGTGTTTCAACATCGCCCTTGACGTACGCCTCGAGAACTTCAGGAAGGATGTACTCGCGCAACTCCATAAGGAAGTTCTCCATGTTGAAGCCGGGGTCCACTTCGCGAAGCTTCTTGATGACCTGAGCGGTCTCGTTCTCGGCGAAGAAACCGCCGATCTTGTCGGTGATACTCCTGGCAGTGGAAATGAGGGGGTTTTCGGACTCCTCGTAGACGGTCTTCAAGCCGAAAACATTCTGGACGAACTTGTTGGAGTCGCGGAAATCCCTCCATGCCTCCTTCCAAGCGGCATCCTTGTGGAGAGTGACGTGGGTTCCGGCACTGAAAGAGTTAGCAAATCGACCAGAGATATCCGCAGGACTTGTTCTTACTTGGGATCCTCCTCAAAGATCTGAGGGCCCTTGCCAGCTGACTCCTTCAGCCACTTCTCTCTGCGTTTCCTGCGCTCCTCCTTCTCAGCCCAGCCGCCATACCTGGAGCTGCTTCCGTCATCGATGACGTCCTTCACGTTCTTGTAAGCCTCGGTCTCGCGGATAGGCTTCGTCGCCTTGTCCAGAACCTCTCCGGTGATGTTGGCACCCTTGCGCACTCCCTTCATCACTGGCGTCTCCCAAGTCCACTGAGCACCCTTGCCAACGGCAGTCGCGGTGGTCTTGACAACCTTGCCAGCCGTAGAGGAAACAGTACCAGAGGTGGCTTCGTACGCCTGTCGTGCACGCCGAATCGCCTCGCTCTCTGCGATTTGGTTGGCGGAGGCGGCCAATGCCTTGGTCGACTCGTTCCATTCCTGAGACTGCTTGAACTCGGTCTGCATGGTCTCCATGAAAACCTGCCAAGGAGTCTTGTCGCCGTGGGGAGGTGGAGGCGGCGCATCCTCCTTCTTTTCCTTCTTGGGCTCACCCTCGGACTTCTCGCCCTCCTCCTTTGTTTCTTCGGACTTGGACTCTTTCTTTTCGGTGGACTCTTCTTGCGCCTTGGGTTCGGTCTCTGGCGTTTGCTGCTTGGGCTGCTCCTGCTGCTGCAGCGCGCGGGACGAGGCGTGGAACGAGCGGGCTTGTACCGTGTTGGGGGTAAACGGCGACCTTAGTAGAGGGATCTCCTGCGCGGAGATGGGCGTGGCGGGAGAGGTGCGGATTTCGGTGGTGTTGACACGGGAAGCGCGGCTGGACAAGAGCCGGCTGGTCGCCGGTGACCTGACATGGGAGGTATGGGGAACGGCCGAGGCTCTCAACGGAGCACCCGGCGACGTCCTTAGGACATGCCTATATGCGTTCATGTTTGCTATCCCAGCTGGACCGTCCTGAGGGAAAACCTGGGAGACGGAGCCTTCAAGCTGATGCAGACAACAAGTCGAAGCACGGAACGAAGTGGAGTGGGTAAAGTTGGCGGACGCGAGGGCAGTCGAGGGCCGAGGACGGGACTCGGAATTTGCGCGCAAGGGAAAATGGATCGGTGGAAATTCTGCCGCAAAGCCAATGACCCAATCGATCCAATGCGCGCCGAACTGGTCGTCTGGGCACCGAGGGTCCCCCGAAATCTTTTGGCTTCTTCCACTTTGCCCCCGCTCGGCCGCAAAACTGCTCCAAAACTGCCCCAAAACATTTCAGTCCCCCGCAGTCTGACTCTTGCCCCTGCTGCCAATGCCAAGAAAAGTGCCTGCCCCACCACCCGTCTGATGCCCGCCCACCTTCTGCTGAAAGTGACAGCGCTGCCGCCCGCGTTGCCTGCCCCGTGGCCATCCACTCAAAATTTCGAGGACCTTTGAACTTCCGGTCGGCGAACGGGACGGGAGCCACCCATTCGCACCGCGCACCGCGTACCACGGAGCCACGGCCTCTCCACTACGACTCGCTTCCCCCAGCTCCGGCATTGTGTGCGCCAACCGCTCTTCCACCGGCTCATCCAACGTCGCCTTCCTTTCGTCGTCCACCCCCACGTCGCGACAGCTCCGAGGAGCATTTGGCCCGCAAAGATGAGCCGCTTCTCTACCGGCCGCCTTCTGGCGCAAAGCCTCTTCCAGACAATCAGCAAGCCCGCCGTCCCAAGCGCCACGCCACTATGGACGCGGGCGTTCTCACAGACCCCCATGAGGAAGGACGCCGACTCCGAAAGCTCAGCCAAGTTGATGGAGTCTCTAACTCGGGGCATTGTCGGCATGGCCGCTGATCCCACCGAATTGACCGGCGACAAGCTTGCGACCAACATTGGGTTGAGGGACACCGAGGACGAGCCATACCACTTCCACATCTACTCGCACAAGCACAACACTCACATTACCGTCACCAAGCCGAACCGCGACGCTCTCATATCCCTTTCGTGCGGCAACCTCGGTTTCAAGAAGTCTAACCGCAAACACTACGACTCGGCATATCAGTTGGGCGCCTACGTGGTGGACAAGATGCATCAGATGAACCTGCACAACAAGATCAAGAAGATGGAGGTGGTCCTACGAGGATTCGGCCCTGGCAGAGAGGCGGTCATCAAGGTCCTGCTCGGAAACGAAGGAAGGATGTTGCGCAGCTCCATCGTGCGTGTCAGCGATGCTACGCGCCTCAAGTTCGGTGGTACAAGGAGCAAGAAGCCCAGACGTTTGGGTTAAGCGAGCGCAGCTGGTTTTGGGGAGACAGAACTGGATGGGGAGCCGTCACAGCCTGGCTGGCGTCAATGGGCTGGCGGTCGTGTACATGTCATGTATAATAAAGAATCTGTCATTGAATTGCATGTTAGGATACCCGGAAGGGGACCGCATGCCGATCCGCTTCCAGGTTCTGCTCTCTTCATCTGTTCAAAACTGACATCCCGGGATGGGTCAAAAGGGTGCATTGAGGCTCAAGAGATGTAATTGTTGCCATACATTGCCTAAGGATGAACTCCCGGATATCCAATGCGTTGGACATCACGGCGAGGAACGCCGAACCATTCGGTTTACTTTCCGATAGCGTCTTGGGACCGGCAGCCCGGGTGCCCGGCAACCGTACTGTTGGACCCACTTAAATTTTCAAACGTCGGCATAGCTCCCGGCGAGCTGAAACGTCAGACGTCAACCGAATCGGATCTTTCACACTGCCCTACCTCATCCGATCCGGGCCCTTCTCATCTCTCGCCGATCCGTTTTGGCTTTCAATCTTTTCTACAAAGCCATGTAGAATAGAGGACTTCGACCACAATGTCGACCGATCCGCAAACCCCGCTTACAGCGGGATCAATTCTCAACCTTGATGTGCTCTTCAACAACCCCGTCTTCGCCGGTGGCATGGGCCTCGCCGGCCTTGGCGCCGCCGCTGCCTTTGGTCGCCGGGCTGCCATCCGTGGTGCCGGACTACTGAAGCGTCAGATGCTGGTCAATGTCGAGATCAGCAAGCGTGATCCCTCATACAACTGGGTCCTTGCCTGGCTGGCGCTGCCGCGAGACAACACCGGCTTCATCGCCCAGCGACTGACGCGGCTCCGCAACCTCTCCGTCTCTACCACCACCAAGTCCATCAACCCCGGCGAGGACAAAGGGAGCTCGCATGCCGATTTCCGCGTGCAACCCGGCTTTGGGCGCCACATCATCCGGCACAAGCCCGGCGTGTACATCGCCGTGAACCGGGAGAAGGCGAGCACGACCCAGACGGCAACGGGTGAGCCCCACGAGATCTTGACCCTCACCCTCTTGTGGCCGCACCGCCATGTGCTGGGCGAGATCTTCACCGAGGCGCACCAGATGGCGCACCGCTTCCACGAAGGCAAGACGGTTGTCTACACGGCGAAGCGCATGGAGTGGATGCCGTTGGGCAAGCCCAGGCTCAAGCGGCCCCTTGGGAGCGTCATTCTCGACAAGGGCGTCAAGGAGAGCATCGTAGGCGATGTTAAGGAATTCTTGGCTGCCCAGCAGTGGTATACCGACAGAGGCGTGCCATACCGTCGTGGCTACCTTCTCTATGGCCCGCCCGGTACGGGCAAGACGTCCTTCATTCAAGCGCTCGCGGGCGAGTTGGATTATAGCGTTGCCATGATCAACCTCAGTGAGGTCGGTATCACGGACGATTTGCTGGCTCACCTGTTGACCCAACAGCCGGAGAAGAGCATTCTAGTGCTGGAGGACGTCGACGCCGCGCTCGTCAACCGGAGACCGAGGGACTCTGACGGCTACAGCGGCGGCACAGTGACGTTTTCCGGTCTGCTCAATGCCCTGGACGGTTTGGCTGCCGGCGAAAACCGGATAGCCTTCCTCACCACCAACCACATCGATCGCTTGGACCCGGCTCTGATCCGTCCGGGCCGTGTCGACATGATGATGCGCATTGGCGAGGCAACCAGGCACCAGGCTGCCGAGATGTGGGATCGCTACTATGGTGACATTGACACGGACCATTCTGGCCGCGAGAGGTTCCTTAACAGGCTGGACGAGCTCGGACTCTTTGGCGAGAACAACCAAGACCCGGAGGCCCCCAAGAGACATACTTCGACGGCGGCTATCCAGGGCCTGTTCCAGTTTAACAAGAATGATATGGAAGGTGCCATAAAGATGGCTGAAGGCTTGATTCCCCGGACCTTTGTGGCCGAAAACCCTCCAAATGATGGCAGCATGAAGTCTCCGGCATGAACGGGGATGAACGGCTTAGCACGAAATCATGTACGAATACCTGTATAACAACACATTGCCCGAGAATAGAAAGAATGATACCCATTATAGCAACTCGTCTTAGATGCTATGTTGAATGAAGTATTAAATCTGCTTTACTACCATTGTCATCATGTCAAGGCTATGTATGGTGTATCGTCTGCTCGGAAGTGAACATCAGTTCTAGAGAGCATGGTAGACGCGAGTAGCGGGCTCGAAGAAGAGTACAGTAGACGATACTTTCACTCATCCCTCTCGCCTGGAACTGTAGGTTGACTGTACAGACCCTGAACAGCCAGGACCATCCGAAGCCATCACTCGTTAGCGTCGTCGTTCCTTTCATCTCGACATTCCGCCTTGGACAATTCGCCTCTACCCGACCACAACATTCGGAGCGGCAGCACTTTCCGTCTTGGCATATTCATACAGCAACCCCACGCTCCCCACGCTCCCCAGGCCCTCGACGCGGGCGGGCAGAGCGTCAGAAGGATCAACGGTCGGCGTGCAGTGTCAAAAAGTGTTGAGAGGCTTGCCGGTTTAGACTCATACTGAAGGATTGTTCAGAGATCGTCGTGAATCGAGTGTGGCGCATTAACTGGACCGGTGGAACAGTGTCTCTGTAACTTGGCAATGGCAATTGCCGACCAGGACCTGGATAGAAATGATCTTTATCCTCAATAATCACTTTCCTACTTCAGGTCGAGTCCTCCTTAGCTTCGGACGAAGCCTTTGCGATCTTTGGCTCCCCTTCAGAGTCGAAACCAAGGGCATCCAATTCCCGGATGAGCTCATTGATCTTGATAACCTTGGCAATCTGTTCCGGCAACAAGGACTCTCCGCCATCCTTCTTGTCCTTCAGCTCCTTGGCCTGGCGGAGCTTCTTCTTCAAGTTCCGGGCCTTCTTCTCCCTCTCGGCTTCCGGGTCGACCTCTTCGGGCTTGGGTGCAGGGGCCGCTTCAGCAGCTGTCTTCTGGTCCTCGCCTTCTGTTTCGCCAGCGGCCTTGGCCTTTTTGCGCGCTTCCCGACGTTTGGCGTTTTTGTTGGCCGCCGCACTGGACTGCTGGTCCGACTTGTCCTCCTTCAATCCCTCTGCGCCCGGCACTGGGCCCTTGCCACGCTGGCGGAAGCCCTCGGCGGTGCGGTTCTTGTACACTTCAACATCCTCAGGCGGGCGGTAGCCGGGGCGGACCTTGATGGCTTTTCTGGTGCTTCCGTCGGCTCTCTTAGACTCGGGGATAACACGTTCGCCGTTTTTGTCGGTTATGATGCCGGAGTTTGTTGGCTGCGACATGGTTGAAGATGGTGGAGTTATTGATGGTTGATGAGGGGGGGTTCGGCTAGGGTTACGGCGATGCCGTTCGACAAAATAACTGATTCCCTATAACTTAGAGTCGCGAAGGTCGAGGAAGTGGTTGTGATGGTTGATTCGCCGGAGCTTGAAACTTGCTGCGTCGAGCTTGTTGCTTGCGCACAAGGCGATGTGTGCGGCCCGTCGGACACGTCAATTGGTAGTGTACCCCTGGGTGTGAGGTTGGCTTTTAATGGTCTGTAACGACGACGTTGTGGTTTCGAGGTTGATTCCACTTGCAGCATGGCACACTTGAGCCAGGCGCCAGCAGCCTTGGAGTCGTTTGGAGCAACTGGGTCATAGCTCCGACCAATCAGGGGAGCTGCATATGCTCCGGATGGTTCCGGCCGGCCGCCATCTGCGATCTTTCCAGGTTCCGCTGGGTCGGTTTTGTCCATCGCAACGAAAAACATCGTGATTGCTCGCGACGCCCTCTCCCGCACAACGTCACCGTTAGAGACGCAGCTGAACCAACGTTTACAGCCCCGGTAAATCTGTCAAAATGGTGAGCATTTCTCCGACCTCACGCCAATCCAGAGCGTGCCCATGCTAATCGCGCATTTCCTAGTCCGCTTTCTACAAGCAAGTATCCCCGCAACGCCGAGCGCATGCTCACAACACCTCGCACCCCCCATCGGCCCGGCACCGGCCCCGGCCCCGTCTCCAGGCCCAGACCCAACTCGAACACCGATAGCTAACCTACACCCCAGCCTCATCTTCCGCAACAACACCGCCTTCATCGGCGCTGTCTTCGTCGGTGCCTTCGCCTTCGAGCTGTACGTACCCACGACAGTCGGATGAACATATAGCAGGGAATCATGTGTCGCTGAACAATTACATCATCTAGGGCTTATGACAACGGCATGGACAAGGTCTGGGACAAGATCAACAAGGGGGTACGAGCCTACGACTGAATCGAGACTGGACTGGAACAGTTGCTGACAAGGAGAACAGCGCCAATGGAAGGACATCCGCCACAAGTACGTCCAGGATGAGGAGTAAACGAGACGACTTGGGAGCAACTTATCAAGACATGGAAACGCCGACTCGATGGGGATCAGACGACAGCCTCTGGGAGAAAGTGGGACGTGGTCGACGGCCATTGATTGCTAGAGGAATGGACGACTTTTCCTGACGATTCTGCCTACCAAGCCCCTATTTCACCTTACTGTACAAAATCAGAACTTTATCATGGCGAAAGACACCTAGACGAATGACCCATAGCCCGACTACAAGGCTCAAGAGCAACACCATTTACCAACCATCTCTGCCAGCTTTTGGAGCCGGGGAACCTCGACATCAAGCAAGCCCGGCGGCTGGCCGGCTCAGCCTGGATTTCGGACGCATGTGTGGGCAATGTTTGCTTTAAATCTCCCAGCGTTGCGTAGCAGGTTCAAGCGTTCGCTGAATTGCTCATGCGGCTCGAGCTGACCTTCGCAATCTTTGACGTCTTTATGCAGCGGCTTCGAGGGTCGGTCGGACGGCATGGATCTTTGCACACCAAGCGCCAGCGCCAGCCCCTGGCAAGCTACCTTAGCTGGCCCTGTGGCCTGTGGCATGCGGTATGTAGAGGTAGTAGATTATAGAGGTACCTACCGGCCGGTACTAGACATGGTAATAATTCGGTGATGGACTTCTACTTGAGTATGACCTACTAACTTTTGTTCTGTCCCTACTTCTACCGGTACACCGGGAGGAACACGATGGAATGAAAAATGATGCCTATCAATGTACGGTGCGGACGACGTCAGGACGGGAGGTTGGTAACAAGATGCTCGGTTACAGTGAAAGTACAAAGGTACTTGTGAGGGTAAGCGTAGCCCAGTCGTGGTGTTTAGTTGCTCCTTACCATAAGCAGTACCATTGTGTACGTCAAGAACCGGGCTTCACTCTTCCTACCTACCTAGGTGGTGTGAAAGAAAGTCCGGACACTGGGTCTGGTTTGGTGTAAGCGTGTCCGGACTATTTTCACATCACCTGCTACCCTCTACTTAGAGGCCTGAAGCGCAGCCCCGCCTGACGTACCTCTACGGGCGACAATGCACCTTCTTGTTAGCGACATACCGAAGTTCCAGGATCTGTCTCGCAAATGTCGATAAGGATATGATGGGAATGAGCTATGGCAACTGGAAAAAGTGTCAGGAGCTTCAAAATGGAGCCTCAAGTGTGCAATTTCGACCTACAAACATCGATCGCTCCGACGCGGAAATATCTACTTGTATCGAATTCGGCTGTTTGGCAAATGGCACCAACGGAACTCACAATGGATGAACAGCGGCCATAAAAGCCCGATAAGATCCCTCCACAGGATTTGCAATTGAGAAGGAACTCAGAAGAACGGTCCTGATGGTGTTGGTTAACAGAAGCCAAATCCATCGACGAGTCACAGAACGCCACCTTGACTTCACTCTTCAAAGCCAGCCCCACGAAAAAGGGAAAACTGCCCTGTAACCGCTGTTCGGTACCAACAAGAAGCCAAGACCGCTGCGTCTTAGTCAACAGCCCAGCTCGCCCAGGTACAAGGCCTGATATTCAAAAAGTCCGACTGCCCGCCCTCCGCTGCCAACAATCATACTGGACGGGAAGGGGAAGAAAGGACCAGAATACTACACTTTACAATCCAACTCCCACGTCACAAACCGAACCACATTCTTTGAGGCGGCGCCAACCATTCAAAGCTGATAAATACCAGGGTGCCTGTCTATCGCTGGCTCCGTCTACCCCGCGATCCCCTCTACCGTGCTGGTCATCGCCCTCAGCTCAGGCCCTCTTCTCGCCCATCTTCTTACCGGTCTGGAACCCTCCTCAAATTTCGAGCGCAAACAAGCGGTGGACGCTTCAGATAGGATCCTTGGATACATACTCCTACACCTCTCGTCAGTGATTATCATCATACCCTCAAGACACCGACACCATCGCATCCAACTCCCAAACACCGACCCTTGGACGACTTGTTAAGCACGACACTGACATACATCGACAAAGATCCCGCCTCAGAACCAGATAGCGCCACCTGGATGTCTATCTCGAGCGCTACATAGACCCGACCACCGACGATTCTTCCACCATGGAAGCCCAGATGTCGACACAGGAGCAGCAGCTCTGCCAGGCCTTGCTGGCGATGCCTGGCAAGTACCGATACCGCTACAGCGAAGAGGCATCGCGCGAACTTCTTCTCACTCTTTTCTGGTCTATGGCCGGTGGTAAAGATGAATACATGAAGCTCTTCTTTCCCAACGGGGACCCACGAACTAGTTCCCTCAAGCTCAGGGATGTCCAAGGAGCGGTCGAGGGCGCCGAATACACCGAAGCCGCGCGTGGCAAGGCCTGCGGTCACATCTTCAAACAAGGAGAAGCATCGTACGCGTGCAAGACTTGTAGCGCAGACGATACCTGCTGCCTGTGCAGCAAGTGCTTCGAAGCCACCGACCACACAGGCCATATGGTCCGCATCAGTATCTCGCCCGGAAACAGCGGGTGTTGCGATTGCGGAGATTTGGAAGCGTGGAAGCGGCCCATGTTCTGCACAATACATTCCATGTGGGAGGGCGACCGCGGTAAGGGCAAAGGAAAAGCGACAGATCTTCCGGAGGATCTGGTCAGGAATATCAGGATGACCATCGGCCGCGTCTTCGACTACATGTGCGACGTCATCTCTTGTGCCCCCGAGCAGCTTCGCCAAACCAAAACCATCCAGTCTATTCAGGAGGATGAGAGGCTCTCGAGGTTATCGTCGACCTATTGCGGTGGAGAGACCGACTCGCCAGGGGAATATGCCGTTCTGCTGTGGAATGATGAGAAGCACACCGTGGTCGACGTGCGTGACCAAGTGGCTCGGGCTTGCAACACTACGCTGGCTAACGGCTTGAAAGCTGCTTACGAGACCGATGCCATTGGTAGGAGTATCCTGATGTACGACAGCAGTCTGGAAAAGCTGCTCGAAGTAGCCGAGATACTGGAGAGGATAAGGGTTACCGTCACCATCCGCTCTTCCAGGGATACCTTCAGAGAGCAAATGTGCGGCACGATAATTGAGTGGCTTAGAGATATCTCCGGCTGCCAAGTTGGCCATGACCATCAGATTTTGAGAAACATCGTGTGCGAGGAAATGCTTAAGCCTTGGAGGAAAGGTAGCCCTGCGGCCCATGCCATTGTCGGCAAGGACGGCATTGACGATGAAGACCGCATTGACCAAGAAGAGAACGTACCAAGCGGGTTCTACGAGCAGCAGGGCAGGCTTTTGCTTCAGGCACGTCAAGCTGCCCGTAGGATGGCAGAGGCTCGTGAGGCTGGCGATGATGAAGGGGACGAAGATGATGAAGACGGGGATGATGAGATCATTGTCTCTGGTGGAGAGATGGATGAAGATGAGGAGGATGACGAGGATGTCATGATGCTTGACGAACAGGGTGATACAGCCGGGGATGATGTTGCCATGACGGACTGGCGAGAAGTCCGGGTGGTGCAGGTAGCCCCGGCCGCTGCTGGTGGCCATCCTCCTCCGCCACCCCCCCCTCCGGCACCGGCTACTACTACGGCCCACCGCCGAACCATTCGGGAACGTGAGCATACTCCTGATGATTCCGATACCGCCGAGCCGCTTATCGCGCCGAATATCTACACCAAGGCCCACCTCGACATCCCCAAGACCCCAGGCAGTCCAAAAGCCAAGACAACGCCTCCAAATCCTGGACGTTACTGGTTGCAGACTCCTGCCGGCTATGTGGAAGAGAAGAACATTCCGGTTGCCGAAGACCTTTTCGAGCGTGTCCGTCTAGACTGGCTGATATTATTTGACCTGCGGATGTGGAAGAAGGTTCGCTGTGATCTTCGGTCATTATACATTTCAACCGTCGTCACAATCCCCGAGTTCAAACGTGTACTTGGCTTGCGGTTTGCTGGCCTCTACACCACCTTGGCTCAGTTGTACCTCATTGGCGATCGTGAGCCTGATCACTCCATTATCAACATCTCCTTGCAGATGTTGACAACTCCTTCCATCACTGCTGAAATCGTTGAGCGGGGAAATTTCCTTACCAGTCTGATGGCCATTCTTTACACTTTCCTGACCACTCGTCAAGTGGGACACCCTTGGGACGTGGCAAGCAACGCAGTTTTGTCCTTCGATTCAGGCTCGGTTACGAACCGGCGCATGTATCATTTCTTCCTAGATCTCAAGTATCTCTTTGGGTCTCCGCATGTGCAGGAACGCCTTCGGACAGAGGAGCGGTATATGATGCAGTTCCTCGATCTCGTCAAGTTACATCAAGGCATTTGCCCGAACGTCCGGGCTGTCGGTGAACACGTCGAGTATGAGACAGATAGTTGGATCAGCGCATCTCTTGTCACACGCGAGATCAACCGACTTTGCAGACAGTTCGCCCAATCCTTCCGGAACGTCAAGGAACACGGTTTGCAGTATGTCAATAATGCGATCAGACTGGCTGCAAAGATTACCATCATCAACTCCCTTGGTGCTGAGCGTCACCGGTTTAACCAGTCGGAAATCAAAGAAGAGATTTCGTTCAGAAACCTTACAGATTTTGAGTTTGAGCCAACCGGGCGAAGCTTCAAGGTCGTCCACTTTGTGGTGGAAGAGCAGCCCATCAGTTTCCATCATGCTCTTCACTACACCTTATCGTGGCTTATCGAGTGTGGCAAGTCGATGAGCATTGACGACCTGCGGAAGCTCCTTACTTTCGAAACCAGCGACTTGCTAGCAAAGCCTCAGCCAATGGGTCGAAAGTCCATGCCTCGCGGTAACTTCACACCGGAAGATTACCTCCTTGCGGCCTTTGATTTCCCGCTCAGGGTATGTGCTTGGCTTGCGCAGATGAAAGCGGGCATGTGGGTCAGGAATGGTTTGAGCTTGCGTCACCAAGGAGGGACTTACCGCGGTGTGAGCCAAAGAGATGTTTCCCATAATAGGGACGTATTTCTGTTGCAGACCGCTCTTGTTGTCTGTGACCCAAGCCGCGTTCTTGCCTCGATTGTCGACCGCT